CTTTACTCACTGCTCAGATTTATGAAACAGAATATTGCCAGTAGCTTAGAAATTCTTTGTTAGCCCTTCCTCAATCACATCCCTCTTCTTCCTGGCCTCATTTTTATATTTATCATTATCCTATTTTTTTCCTTTCCTTTTCTTTTTTTTCCTTTCTTTTCTTTTCTTTTTTAAATCTGCTCCCAAGGATATTTTTAAAGAGATTAAGACAGAGAGACAGAGAGAGAGAAAGAGATATGAAAGAGAAACATTTATCAGTTGCCTCCCCTACACACCCAGCTAAGGTTTTCTTGCTTCTCTTGCTTATCTTTATAAAATGTCAAGATCCCTTAATTAGATGAATAGTCTAAAATCATTTTTTTGTTTTGTTAATACTCCCCTGAGGATATTTTTTCCATTGCTTTTTCTGAGAGGATAGAAGGGAGGGAGAGAGGGAGAAAGAAACATTGATGTGAGAGAGACACATCAACTGGTTGCCTCCTGCACACACCCCAACTGGGGACAGGGAGCAAACCCCAGAACCTAAGTATGTGCCCCTGACCGGGAATTGAGTCTGAGATCTTTCCATGCGGAGGCTAATGCTTAACCACTGAACCACACTGGCCAGGGCTCTAATATAATTTTTTAAATGTATACTTTTGTATAACATGGACTCTGTCTTTCTAGCTCATGATATCTATTTTCTCACCATCCACTATAGCTAATCCCTGCTCCATATTTTTAGGTTTTTGTTAGTGTTTAACATAAAGGTACTCATTTCTGAATTAGTTAGTGTGAACAAATTGCTGTGACAAATGTATAGCCACCTAAATTAAATAGAAGTTGGTTTCTTGTTCACATAACAGTACTGGAATGTTACATTACTGGGCTGGTTAAGAGGTCAAAAGGGTGGTTAGGGACTCAGTTTATATCATTATAACCCCGGGATTGTCTCTTTCCCATTTAGTGGAAATAAAAAATTTAGAAATGTCGTGGGGGAAGTTTTTATCAGCTAGCCCTGGGAAAGGTGACACCATTTCTTCATATTTCATCTATACTAATAATAGCTTAGGGCCCTCACAACCTAAATGACCAGACAGACGACCAGTCACCAGGAAGTGTATGGGAGCACCTCTTGGTCTTCCCCTGAGGCCCACAGGTTTCTATCACAGCAAGGCTGGCAGCAGGTGGGTGGTGGGGCGCGGGGTGAGGGGTAGTGAGGTAGCACAGCAAGGTCGTTAGCCTCCAGCCCAGAGAAAGAGGAGAGGTGGGGCTGATCTGCAGCTGCTAC